ATATTGCAAGGGCAATCGTGTTCAGCTCCCGTCCTGTCCAAGTCAACGAGAAGATAAGACTGCGGATTGGAAAAGTTTTTTCCGGATGGAGTGGACTTCTGCGGTGAGGCAGGACTTGCGCTATACGCCCTTACTTTGCTTTAAAAGGAGAGTTCCACCGCGCCGTAGGCAACACATCCTAGAACCAATCAAAGCCAGTCAGCAGCCTTCTTCACCTACATGGAATGTCATCTCACTCGGACGGCGCCAGCTCAGCGATTGGGCCTGAGCCCGACGCTGAGCGGGTGCATTGGCAGAACACGAGGTTTTGTCGAACGCTGACACAGCGTCCGTGTCCTATCTGTGTCTGCGATTGATCTCATTGTGATGACGTAGAATTCTAGTCCACAGGCCTTGATTATTCTCGGTGGTGTTGCCACAGGAGGACTACACAGTTCTTATTACGAAATCAGTGCGTATGAAGCGACCCTCCTTGGAGCAGGTCATAGAATATATTCCCAACCACTCACTTCCTGGGAAGATCATGCATCTTAAGAGTGACGCACTACGCCACCACCAGCAGCGAGTCGCCAACGAGCTGAAACAAGAAACTTACTTCCAAATGAGTAACCAGAGAAAACTTCTTTACGTCGCACAAAGAAAACAGACCGTGGGCCATTCTGCATCAACTCTCCGTCCCATTCTGCATCGGTTTGTCCGCCGCCCAATGTTTTTAAACTACAGATAGATTAATGTGTGCTAGTGATTGGTAAACGTTCTGTATCGATAAACCTGTATCTAGCATCTAGCCATTTTATTAATAGGAGCCAGCTTACGTCATCTATCATACAACACTTACACTCCTTCTAAATAGTGCCACAGTTTTATTATCTCGTTCATAATTTTAGTTTTGTTTGTATAAATTTTACGTTTCCCATTAACCTCTTTTCTGTTAAATGTTTTACTTTATTTTTGTGACCTCACTATATGATCACCGGATTATTTCATTACCGTCAAAGAATCCTGGTGCTTCCACAAGAACTGCTTCCCCTCACGGAGGGCAGGACCCAATCCCATGCGTTTGTCGTTCGCGTTTTCTTTATTTTTTTTTTTTTTTTTGTTTTCACATCTGCACGCACCACAAATTTTATCCATGTCTTCAAATCTAACTCTCGTTTTTTTTTTACTTCAAAAACAAAAAACCAGCGCGAGGGCCCTTTGCATGTTACAGGGTCTCTCCACATACTCATCAAGCGTTATGTTTTTTTGTTGTTTTCCATTGGATCATTCCCTCTTTTCAGATAAACAAAGCACTTAGAAGTATGCCGCACCCCGGTACTTTCTTTCAAATGTATCATGTTTTCTGCAGCTTTTAGTGATTCTTTTCAAGTCTGTGCCTTCCGTAGTACTCCAGAGGTTTCCCTTGACATTCCTGTTTCATCCCACCCCTAATTATTTCATCACACTCCCTTGAATTCAGTAAATGAGGGGAGATCCTTCCGTGCATCTAACATGAGTCTTGCAACACCATGTATACCTCTGAAAAAGTTCGGCTCGGCAGTATGCACCACATTTTCCCTTTTTATGTCTAATTGCTCTTCCCTGCATGCTTATAAATCCTAAATTTACCGGTCACACATGCTATCTCCAACAACGGGAAGACCCACTCGACAAGGCAGTTTCAGGCGGCTGTACTGGATTCACTTTGGCCAGGCGCACTCTCCTCGGGGTGAGGAAGCTAGATGAACATACCTTATCTCGCTAAAAAAATAAAGTGCCTGAGGCAAGGTGTTCTTAGCAGCACCGCATAGACTGCATCGGTGATTGGTCCTTCATATGAGGGAGCGTGTACAAGTAGCCATAGCCTACTCTGTAATGACAAAGCCTGGCAGAATCACCACGAGACGCGGCCGCCGAAAGTGAAAATTTAGAGCCGAGATACAACGGATGAGAGGAGAGTCTAGGGTGCCTACATGTCTGTCTGTTCTAAGGGTTGAAGACATCCATTGTTGCCCTGAATGTGCCAGCGCGTGACGCTCTCGCGCACTCGGTGCGTGACTAGGTCGGTAAAATGGCGTCTATGCATTAACCAAAGCTACGCGCTCGAGCTGAGTGACATCAGATTGCGCGCTTCAAAATGCATAAAAAAACGATTGGGCGGAAAAATGGCTGAGGATGTCACCACTCAAGCGAAAGCGCGCCGTGTGTATGAAGGCACTCTAGGAGAGTCATGTCGCGGGCGCCCCGCTGCGGCGAGACGCCGAGAAACACACTTTTCCTGAGCGATGGGAATGTCCTGCTCGTACTCCTCGCGTTCCTCGCGCTACCGCTTCTTTTCTCGTCGGGTTTTGAAAACCATGTTTCGGGTCTTCGGCGCTGCAAAAGGCTGTGCGCTGATTACCAGGTTCCCCGAAAAAGGCTCTCTGCTACCTGATCCTCGCGTTCCAAATCCGCGACCGGGCACTCTATGGCTCGTCGTCGAACTGCCAGGCTTTGTGAGTATAGAGGAGGCTATGAAGTAGCGCATCGCTCGACTTTATCCCGCCCCTTTTTGATTCCATAACATCCCCCTCTACTACGCCGCACCAGGAAACCGCGAGCTACAGGATTCCTTCGCTTTGCCAGAATATTTTGCACTCGGCCTTGACAACAAGGGCCAATTTACTCACCGATATATTTTTTCTAGCAAAATGCGCGCATTCTTTTGTGCGACTCAACAATCTGGGCGCGTTGCTCTGGCTATTGATTCAGTGTACAGTAGCCCAAATTTTTAATAATATCACGCGACCGTCGACCGCCGGGACGGCCAGCGCTGTGCCGCGGAGAAATGCGGCGTCACGGGAAAGATTAAGCGTGTGCGCGCAAAGCCCTCTGCGAGGATGTCGTCTGCTAGCTATTCCGCTGATCGCACACAGCCCCTGCACCGTAGCAAAGGAGTGCGTTGCACCCACTTTTTATACTCCGTTTCACTTTGTGTTGTACCGCAGCCGACGCTACGAGCCATCTTGGCCAGTCCAGTCGCTAAAGTTTGTCACGTAGCCTTCCTGTTGGGCACAACTGCACGTGGAAGCACGATGTCAAGTGGCAGGGTGACAGCGCTGGATTGGTTTTGAAGCCTCGTAGCATTGGCTGCGGTTAATAGTTTAGTGCATCATTGCATTCAGCTTATCGCGTCATCTCGTTTAATTTAGTTTATTTTTATTTTTTATTTCTTGTTTGTATTTACTGTGTGAGCACCAAAACAAAAAGAAAAATACGATGACGCGAGATAAGCTGAAATGCAATGATGCACTAAACTATTAACCGCAGCCAATGCTACGAGGCTTCAAAACCAATCCAGCGCTGTCACCCTGCCACTTGACATCGTGCTTCCACGTGCAGTTGTGCCCAACAGGAAGGCTACGTGACAAAACTTTAGCGATGGACTGGCCAAGATGGCTCGTAGCGTCGGCTGCGGTACAACACAAAGTGAAACGGAGTATAAAAAGTGGGTGCAACGCACTCCTTTGCTACGGTGCAGGGGCTGTGTGCGATCAGCGGAATAGCCTAGCAGACGACACTCCTCGCAGAGGGCTTTGCGCGCCACAACGCTTAATCTCTCCCGTGACGCCGCATTTCTCCGCGGCATGGCACTGCCCGTCCCGGCGGTCGACGCTCGCGTGATATTATTAAAAAATTGGGCGACTGTACAGCGAACTACAGCGACCCTACTTGCCACACCGGTCAATCCAGCGCTCGAATTGTATCGCGTGACTACACAACTCTCCAAAGGTCAGGTGACACTCGCACGCATAGACCCGTACCTCTAACATTTTGAGCAGCCCCTTGTCGAGAAATATCGTAAATTGTAGGTCGTGCTTCCGTTGGGCTTCGCGTTTCGACCTTTCAAACTCTCTGCTGGTGCCCATGCACACTTACAGACGCTATAGTTTATGCCTGCTGATCGTGCATGATGATCGCTAGAGCGCCTCTTCAGATCAGCATTAAATGGTCAAGCGTCTCGGGGACGCTAGCGGAGACGCCTCTTTTTTGTGGTCGCACCTCGTGGACACTTACAGCGCCCCCTGGCCGAGAGAAACAGTCCTATGAATTGACTTTGATGGATTCGTAGGGTCTTCTCGGTCCATCGTTAGGTGAAACGGTGTGTAGTGATCAATGTTCTTCTAGAAATCAGAGTTAGTGTATGGTTGCTCACTTCGGCAAGCGCTGGGTGCACTTCATGTAATAGAGAGCGCCTCCTTTCCTTCGTTATCTGCCTTTTGTGCCCTCTCCCGTCCAGGCTAGGCTTCACGTCGCATGACCCAAGGACCCTGGCCGGCAGCCTCCCTGACACCGTCAGCCAGTTCCCGAGTACCGTCAAAGGGCACTGGGCAGGACCTATCGGGGCTAGGTTGGTTACACGCACCCTTATTTTTGCTGTTTAGCGGGTCATGCTAATTCCATTTGAATTAAAAATGCATAAGAAATTCCTACTTCTAAAACATAAACTTTGATTTTCTTTCAATTGATTAATGCCTTCATCACCAACTAGTTTCTTAACCGATTGTTTAAAAGTGGAGCCTCCTGTGATGTTGTCACGGGCCGACGTTGCCCTCTCTCATTCTGTTTCTTTCTCTTCCACTTCGCATTCTTCATAATCTCCACCCAGTCTCGGCTGGTTTAAAAAACTGCATAATTTATGTTGCCACCAATTTTAACAAAGAACAATTAAGTAACGATCAGTACCGGCTTAATTATGACAGATATTAGAAATTTACTTTTCAAGAAGTTTTACTAAACTCGTTACGTAGCATATCCTGCCAGCGAATTTTCCTTCTTACTGGCGTTCTTATATGTTTATATTGCTACTGCCTTGGGCAAGGCGGATAAAAATCAGGAAAGCACCGGGCTGCCTTGTTTATCTTTGGCTGTCTGACATCAGTAAAGGTATATGTACGTTTACTGTTCGATCTATTTTTGTCATCAGTCCATTTCAACACCTAAAATGGCTTTAGAAATATATATTATTTTTGCATCGCTAATGCTACATAAATCCAAACATCTATGTTTGCTATAAGAATAAAACAACCAAGATGAACTGCAACAAAACTGTAGTCCTCCAGAAAAGGATACTTCGCGTGTTTGATCGTTATCAGGGGAAGCCGCGAGACTTCACACGGAGCCACCCTTGGAATAATATACTATAATCAATGCTAAACAAATATATTACTTTACACTGCTTCATTTGATACACAAGGAGAAGGTGCACCTAAAGCCCAAAAGTATAACCTCGCAGCGAGCACTGAGAAAGAACGCCCGGGAAAACCCCCAAGATAAGAACAAACTATACGGCAAGCGACAATTTGATTACGAAGTTCATTTATTGTTAAATAAAACTGCACACCGTATAAGACTTCAATGTTCCTTTCCCATTTTCAAGAAATGTATTAGAGTTCCTGGTGGCTAGTTATGTAGTTTTTGATGTAGAAAAGTGAAAAGTGCTAGCGTTCTTTTGTTTTGGCTAGCGTTCTTTTGTTTTGACACTGTCCTGCCAAATGTCCCCCCCCCCCCCTTTGTAATACCCCTCATGGGTCTTAAGGGGAACCAATAAATGAATGAAATGAATGAATGCAAATTGGAATGTGAAGCAAAAATTATGGCGTCCTTAGTGGTAGCGCTTAGTACTGTTTTAAACATATCTAAAGATATACAATATATTTGATAATCTAATTGGATCTCGCACTTGAATTTTGCGGGTGTCCTCTTTCAGTGCTGAACTGTCAGGGGAAATAGGGGCCTCGTCAAGTTGCAACAGCAGCGTTTTTCTCCGTTTCCCTTGGCTCCCTTTTGGTGAAAAAAAAACTTTAAATAAACTTTAAAAAATATATGATATACCTACAATTTTGCAATTATTTGTATTTTTTAACTTCCACTTTAGGCTTAATCAATAAAAGGCAGGCAAGAATCGGTGAAATATTATTAATCGAGGTACAACCCTACAAATTACTATATAAACTGTACAGAAAAACAAAATGTTGGCTTTGTTTTAAGCAACCCCCTCAGTAACTAGACCCACATATCCTTTGACGCCTATTCCAGAAACGCCCCAAAACGAAAAAAGTGGCGTATCTAGATGTCAAAATGTCGTCTTATGGTAGCAGATATCTTCCCCATCTTAAGTCGCGCGCTGAGAGGAAACATGCTCTTTATGCGACGTGATCATCCCGTTCGGATCTCATCTGCACCCTTGTAATTTGACCAGTCATTGCTGTTTTCTTTTTGTTTTTGTATTTGTAAAAAAAGATCGATTACAGAGCTTATTTTCATTCTTTCTGCTTCGTTTTGGAAATACTAAGAATGGTTCTACCTCGAGGGCTAGCTTGGACATTTGCATGTACATTTTATAACGTCACGGGAGTAACGCATTGGCGTCTGATTGGTGTAAACAATTGCCTCCACCAATCAGACGCAAAAACGTCACTCCCGTGAACTTTTAGAACGAACATGTTAATGTCGAACCAGGGTATCTACTTAATTCAACCGTTTTGTTTTTTGGCTGTCTTTTTGGTGCCTCAAGCCACGCAGTGGAAGGTACACTGGTGGAGTATAAGGTTTGCAGCAACGGCGACGTCCTCTTCACCATCGAGGGAAAAAACTCCGCTCTGCTTCTCAAAGGCGTAAACACGCGGTCTGTACTTTGGGCTATGGTGGACATCTACGGAGCCACGACCGCCATACAGATCGTTGGTCAGTCGTCAGTTCTCTAATCACCTTAGTTGATATGTCGCGCAAGGGCATTTCTTCATCTCCTAAATTTAGTAAATCATAGTTGTGGGCTTGGCTTTTTATGCGCACGCTTCTTCCTTTGTGATTACCTGTTCGGCGCTCTTATCTAGTGACTAGAAAGTGTATTTTATTAGACGCTTCTGTTTTGTGAACGAACGCGAAACTTGCGATGGCGCAGCGGAATACAGAATAACATAATAAAAGCGGATAATGGCTCCGCAATTCTAAGGGAGACAACGCCACCTAGAGGAAAAGCCAGGAAAGATAGAAACAATGACCGCCTCGGTGGCTCTGAGGCAGAGCTCCGGCCTACGTATTCTCACGTGACGGGTTCGAATCCTGGCCGAGGTGCCTCGCGGTCTGACGGATGTTTATTGCGGGAAATACGCCGTGTAACCAAGATTCCGGAGGTCCCCAAGGGGTCCAATTAATCCTCAGTCCTCCACTGGGGCATGCTAGACGTCCCTTGTTGGTTTGGCACGTAAACGATAAAACACCCCAAATTTGGCTTCGAGAAAAGACAGAAACGGAAAGCTCGCGGCTACTAATGTGCGGCCAAAACTAGCACAACCTGGTGGGGGATGCGCAAACTAGAGGAACGATATCAAATGCATATTCCCGCGTGCGCATCTAGGGGCAGCGCGCTTGGTTCCCTCGCAGATGGCCGGTGTTCGTGTCGTTTTTTTTTTTTTTTTCATTGTATATGTAGAAGATTCTAAAACGCTGGAGAGCAGTGTAGCTTGTTCATGCTCAGAATGTATAGTTCCAGAACGAACGAGGTAGAATGTTTTAGGCTCGCAGGGAAGGCTCAAAAGTAGCCGCGCCGCGCCGTATGGGGTCAGTCTTTCGCCAGCGTTCGGCCTTGCGTTCATGCCCACACTCGACGCCCGCGACGCTGTCCTGTTACCTTCCGTTATTCTCTTTTGCTTTCGTTTTTGGCCCAAGTTCGCCAAATGAAACTTTTAGTTTCTCTCGTTATTTACCGCCTCACCAATTGTCATTCGTGAAAATATTAATGCAGTCGTGGGTAAGCATTCACAGACGGCATGCACGCGCTTCACAGATGGAGCGGACGTGAGAGCCAACGAGACAAGGACCGCGGCTAGCTCAACGCAGGTCACGAGCAACACAAAGACTGAAAAGCCAGACCCTAAACCTGGTAAGTACCTGACGGCAACCGCGAACGACCTTACCAGAAGAAGAGTGACCAGACCGATGTTCGGCTGAAAAATTGTGAACGCCTTAATCCTACCCGTACTCTCATATAACAAGCAAATAGCGTGTTTTCTTTTATTTTCAGTCTGTATACATATATGAGTGTTAGGTTTGTCTTATGTGGTTCGTACATAGATATGTACGGACTGAGCAACGGAGCGCTTAAAGGGCAACTCCACTCAAACAGTCGACTCTAAAGAAATGGCTGATATCGCTTTAGGTGGTCAAAATACGGTCATACCCAAAATATCACGTCAAACCGACGTCGCATTCCCGCTTAAAACTAATATTAAAAACGTACCACCAGCTGGGTTACCTGCCCGACAACGGGTGAGCCACGCTGGCACCGGGTGAGCTAGCGAAGCAACACTGGGCTTCACTAGCTCACCCGGTGCAACACGTAGTTTCGTCATGCTCTCGTACGGACGCCGGGGACGATTCGTTTCTCGTGGCGTTCTGCGATTCTGCTGACGCAAGAGGTACTTACCGCGTTATCCCGTGTTCCCCTATTTTTATTTGCGTCGTGGGAGTTCATTTGACTCCAGCATAGCTTCCGCGACCGCGCGGAAGAGAGCGAAGCGGTGCTGCTCGCTCACGCGCGTGTCGCGGAGCCGGAGAGACTCGCCGGACTCGCGTTGGGCAATGTCGAGCACGACTTGTAGTGCTGTGGGTTGCACTAGCAATCCGGTGGGCAACCTGGAGCCGCGATTCCACCAGTTCCGAAGAGACCAGAAGAGGCACAAGGTGGTGGGTCAATGACGTTCGCCGGATAGACATCAGAAGACCATGGACTCCTAGCTCCAACGCGAAGCTCAACTCCCAGCAGTTAACGCCAGACACGTACACACGGGATCTGCTGCTGCTGACTGCCGCGGGTTTTTCCACAAAACACGCGTCTTTGACGAACGATGCGGTGCCGTCGCTGTTCGTGTACCGTTCGCCGGCTGCTCCAGCACGAGCGCCCGGTCGCAGCAGGTCGCACCAGATCTAACTAGCGTACACATAAACGCACCTTAGCTTTAACAACTTAGACCGGTTATGGATACCATCTGTCCATTTGTCTCCCATGATTTCTGTTTCTCTTGATCCGCGAGCAAGAAACAAATACAGTCACGCTGCGCCGGCACTGATTGCGTCATATTATTTATAGCAGTCGGATTCGCTTTTCGGCCTGCAAATTTATTTATGAATACACACTAAAACTTACTACATTTGGTGCATATTTACAAAGTGCAGCGGCAAAAAAGAAAATGGGCAACTTACTTTCTGTTTTGAAACTCCACGTATGACCGGGCCGACCGCGTCGGTGCGTCGGCTCAGGAGCGCGGGACGAGATCTAAGTCATACCGTCGACGCGCAGCTGATTATCAGTGTTGCCAAGGTGCTTGAGCCGGTAGTTTCAGTTTCGCCGTGCCGCCGGAACGAAACTTGGATAAGCGATATCTACAAAACTATACACACTACCGAAAAACAAATTATATCTCGTGATTCAGGGCTGCTGTCTTGGACTAAAGAGATCATAACCAAAAAATTGTAAAAATGGAGTGGAGTTGCCTTTTAAAGGAATGCTGAACCGAAATTTGGATTTCAAAAAGATAAGGCCGCAGAACCGCTGAACGGGACGATACTAACTCCAAAACATCACTCATACATCGATATCTCAAACGGACGGCCCTACTTCTGGAAAAGAAGGGCACGATCAAGCGAGGGCTATGACGTCATTGTCCCTCTGGACATTTTGAGAATGAGGGGAAGCGCCTGGCTTCTCTCCTCCTCGCTTAGGTTCACCAGCTCGACGGGATGTAGCGAGGAAAAAAGGGAACGAGAATCGTGACGTAACTTGTCTGGTCGGCCTCGTTGGCCGTGTTCAATCGCGCACTTCTATTCCAAAAATACGGCGATCCGTTGGAGATATTGTTGTAGGGTGATGTCTTTGGGTTTTTCAGCGTCCCCCCTATTCGTCCGGCCTAGTTTTGTGAGCTCGAAATTTCGGTTCAGTATACATGTCGCATGCCAAAATTAACTCCATAGCACATGCATCAAAAGTCACGTCGAGATGATTTCCTGACCTTCAACTAATTCAAAATCAATCATGGACGTACGTTCATAACGTTCCGAACATGCACTAGACCTCAAGGCTCTGGCTGCGTTGAGAAAGTCTTACTACATCTCTTCAGCTTTTCAACGGATGACCTCGCATGCGAAACTCGAAACTTACGCATATACCGTGTGTTGTTTACTCTCGCGTGTTATTCACGGAAGTTCCAGGGAGTCTTCTCGTGACCCCGTATTAATAGCTCGGTAGCACAATATGTTGCTCCTTAAGTGAAAGTTGTTTTTAATGTCGAGTACGAATTCCACAATTGAGAAATCGGTGCGTCCAGTTTGACGTTGAAATGGTATACCTCGCTGCTCTTTAACTCAGAAAAGACGGAGGACCACCTGTGTCGCCTGTGCTTCGACAAGGACATCGACTGCGTGCTGGTCGACTGCGGCCATCTGGTTACCTGCTACGCGTGCGGCCTCAAGCTCTTCATGGGGACGCCCCTGTGTCCGGTGTGTCGCAAGCCCATCAAACAGCTGGTCAAGACTTTCAAGACTTAGCTCGTGGTCCCGACCTGCGTCGGGGCGGACGCGCGCACACGCTCTGCAGCATGGAGGTAGGAAGTTTCTGGAGCTGACATGACGCCACCAGAGGTGAAGCCAAGAGTGTGGAGGGACACGCACCCAACGATGACCAAAACCGCAGCTGTTTTGGGCGGGTCATGTCGCCTGCAGAAGCTTCCTACCTCCATGATCTACAGTCACTGACGGCTTAAGGAACGCAAAGCGTGATGAACCCCGAGCACCTCATTATTGCCTGCGTTGTGGCTGTGGAGCTGCGGGACAGATTCCGAAGCAAGAAGAATTAGCATACTAGGTCACGCCCTGCGCCTCTTACGCTGTAAGTGATCATTTAAAAACAAAATTGCGTGTCTAAGTTCCCGCAGTGCATATAGGACAAGGAAGTCACGTCAACCTACTGTGTTATTTCGGCGAATGAGGAGAATAGTGATATGTTGAGATCTTAAAAAGAAAAAAAAAATCTGTTGAGACATTTAGTTTACATTTACGTGCTTACGTCACCTATACATCTGTGTAATAACCTTATAAATCAACCGTGCATTATCTCATTTAAAAAAAAAGGTAGGTTTTTGGTGTGTGCAGTTGAATATATTGCGTAAAAAAGGAGGATCTGTACACAAACTGTTGTATTGTTTCGGTGAAAAAAAAAAACGCGCCCATTGTATTTGAATTATTCATTCACTGCTGCTTTGGCTCCAACGGGCCGGCAGCATCGATAAATAAAATAAAATAAATAAGTGCTCAGTGTGAAGGCGATGGCTTTTCTTTTTTCGGTCTAGACATAGTTTTAGTCTCGTCAATAACTCGACATCCCACTGTATAGACTGACACACTGTTTACAAACAAGCCCGCGTTTGCCCACACCAGGTATGGGCGCTGCGCGAGCAAAGAAACCAGATTTGCGTGAGGTAAAAAAGCTCCTGCACATGCGCCGTGGCGACAACAGCGCCACCGTAGAGGCGTGACGTCAAAGCCGCGTGTTGGCCTTATCTCGAGCGCATTGCGGAAAAGTGGACACACAGTATTTCTTATGGCCACTGGCGGCGTAAGGAACCATCTGGGGGTGATCCTATTATATTTTCCTCGTACTTGCTTCGCGATTGGTCCTTTGACGTCTTTATCGGCGAGTACCTCATTCTGATTGGCTGCGGAGGGATAATCAGATGCCACGCCCTACGAGCAGAGTGCGAAACAACCAAGGAATGGCAGTAGCAGCACTTTCAGACGGGCACCTTAAAGACGTTCAGAACGAACTTCTTTAAATAATTGGCAAATAAGCTTGCGATCTTGCGCTTATCGGCTTGCACCGATTCGCAGACTCTTTAAATGAGTTTGTTCTGAAGGCCTTTTACGGTGACCGTCTGACAGCGGCATTTATAAGACTGCACAGCACAAATTCAACAACCCTGACTTCGTTTTCGTTTATGTTTTTTTAGCTTGATCTCCAAGTTGCGCAAATTCTACATAGATAAAGATTATCCATGTGCTTCCCGTTTTTATGCATATATTGCAGTGATAGAGTCCTAGCCATTCATTCTTTCTCGGAGGTAGCTTGTAGAAGGAGACTGTTGAGGAATGTAATTTGACAGTTAAAAAAATATATTTTCAATATGCATTTTTAAATGGAAACATCAAAATCGCTACCTCGTATAAAAAAAAATAGAAGTTTATTTCCCCAACATTTTGTTCTCAAAATTGCGCACAGAGAGCATAATCGAATACTTTCAGCCTTTCCACTCTGGTGAAGACCGAAGAGCAGCGGAGCTGTAGCTTTTCTTCTCGGTGGTGGCGTTTCAGGCGAGCAATCTGCTTTTCTTTCGCAAGGGAATTTGAAGCGCCCGACGCAGTCGAACTTTGGGCGATAGCGGACTCGCAACGGTTGCGAAACCATTCGCGCTGCTGCGCACATCGCCCCTCGGTACGTTCCCGCTCGCGCTTCTCCCTCCGAAGAAATGTTGCCGCGCACTATGAGCGAAGGCGGCAGGCACACAACTGGCAAGCACAGCACTCTGGACAGCTACTGCCAGCTATGAGCGACGGCGGCAACCAGAGTGTTGTATCGGCCACGGGTGTCGACATTTGTTTGGGAAGTGATCTGAGCCGGAACGCAAAAGCTTCTATCTCTGGAATTTGCTATTCTACGCGACTTCGTCGGTCCCTTGGACTTTGGGGTCTACTCGGACGGCAGGAGCTAGGGCAGCTCCCTGCACAGCAAGAGAAGGGATGCACGCTGGTATGTCTCTTTCCGAAAACGACATATCCATCACGGCAGCACAACACCAGGCCAGCAGCGCACTCGATGAATCCCAGGACTGCAGTCGATCTGTCTGCTCAGAGACCTCCAACATGGAGAGCGAAGATTCCGGAGGCGAATGGCGGAGATCCGGCAGAAAGCGCGCTGTCGTCCAAAGAAGAGCGACTCGTCTCCAGACGTTCCGCAACAACCAAAGAAGCAAGATGACACCAGCCTCACCGTCATCTTCGTTCCTGTGAAAGAGGAGACCAGATTTACAGCGCTCAACAGCCTGAAGATTTCCGAAGCCCTTGAGAAGCTCTGCCCAGAGTGCATCATCCAAGTGCGCCCCAACGATCGGCTGAACCTGATCGCTGTTGATGTTCGCAACGGGCAGGCAGCGAAACCTCTACTGAACACTGCAATGCTTTGCGGTGTTCCAGTAAGAGCCTACTCCCCACTGTCAGGGCCCATTTCGTATGGTGTCATTCAAGGCGTCGACGCTGAAATCACAGAAGACGATATTGCGCGCAATCTTTGCGCTGAAGACACATGCTGCAAGATTGCCAACGAGCGGAGACTTGGACGCTCCCGCATCGTGAAGGTCGCCTTCACCAGCACTAAGCTGCCAAGCTACGTGCTTCTAGGGCACGTTCGTTATCCAGTCTCACCGTTCACAGACAGACCGTTACAATGTCACAATTGTAACGGATTTGGCCATAAGAAAATCGCCTGCCAACGTCTAAAGGCCTGCTGCCGTTGTGGGCAACACCATGACGGGACGGGTGCTGAATGTCAGTCCACGACAGTGAAATGCGCCAACTGCAGTGGAAAGCACCAAGCCACATCACGTGACTGTCCAAAATGAATTAAAGAGCGTGACATTATAGTTTACTCTAAGAAGAATTCAGTGGGATTCCGCGAAGCGAAGTCAGCCTTAGATCCCCAAAAGAGACAAAAAACTGGCACCGCTGAGATCATAATGCAAGACGAAACGCAGCCAACGTTCTCTAATGCAGGCGCCAAAAGCTACGCTTCTGTCGTCGCTGAGGACTGCCAGAAAAAAATCGTTATCAACCAAGTACCACCGAATGATGTCCCAAGGGATGAAAGGCCAACGTGGTCCACGCAGCAACCTTCCTCGCAGGCGCTTCCAAGGCGTCAGGCAACAAAACGAAGCACTGAAAGGAAAGAAAGCGACGAGACTTCAGGCTTACCCATCGCAACAACACCCGCCTGGGTCTCCATTATCAAGACAGTTGCAAACATATCCCTGGCAATATTGTCTAAATTTGAAGCCTCGTGGGCCCGGGCAATTGTTACAATTTTGCAGGCAATATGCTTCCCCTTCTGGGGGCATGCTAGGGGGACCAAGTAACGCAAATGCGCGACACCGTGGACAGAAGACCCTGAACAGACAAAGAGCTCCAATATCTCGTCAAAAGAATAGTACTCGTCAACAAAGGCGCAGTCCAGTGTTTCCTTCCATTCTTCGATGGAACGTAAATGGGCTGCGCACGCTTACAAGGGATGCGCGAATCTTTGAAAACTGAGAGTGCTGACGTCCTGGCTCTTCAAGAAACGAATGTCGTACCTGGAGAAGAGCGCCTTTCTCCATATGTGTTCTACCACAGTGCCCCCATAAATCCAAATAATAGGTCACGAGTAGCGATACTTGTACGTGACGATGTATATCATAACTCCATAGACCTTTCGGACTTGAATTCGGCCATGGAGGAGTACTCCGGCGTAATTGTTAGAATAAAAGGATGCGAAACAACGATTGTTTCAGCTTACATCACGCCACACGGAGTCTGGAACACAAAAGTGCTGGAAGAGATTAAAAAGAGAAGCCGCGGTCAGCTTATCATCTGCGGAGATTTTAATGCTCACAACGAGGCTTGGGGTGGTAAACGAACGGACGCCAGAGGACGACAGCTAGAGGCTACCATGGCAGAGATTCAACTTCGAGCTCTAAACGATAGGTCCTCCATATTTCGTAGGAAGGGGCTCAGCCCCACTACTATCGACCTGACTTTGGTGTCCTCCGAAATATTTGGGTTATGGACGGCTCGACCCGACACAGAGGGAAGTCACCACGTGCTTATCAGAGTGACACATCCAACTACAAGCCCCAAAAACGTGAAAACCTGTAAGGTGACGAACTGGGATTTATTTCGTCAGTATGTTGCTACCGCCATTGAGAGTGGCAACTATGAAGATCTAACATCTTGTATTGCGGAGTGCCTGCGACTTGTCACGCGCTCCGTCACGGTGCCCGTTACATGCCCTGCGCCTGACTTGGAATGGCTAAATCTCCGCGCAGCCCGAAGACAGGCACAGCGAAGGGCACTTAGCACGGACGCCTCATGGGACTGGACGCGCTACAACCGGATCGACGCTAAATTTAGACGACATACGAAAAAACTTCAAAGATGGCAATGGAGACACGTATACGCATCGCTCGGCAGGGCTGGTGGTGGTAGACGTGCTTGGAGACTCGCTCGAGTCCTCGCCGGCGCGAAAATTCCGCGTCATCCTCCCCGCAGGGGGCGCCTACACCTTCGGTGTTAGGTGCTTGGTGAGTAGCGCCACCACGGACCCCAGCCACGCGGGCCACCATACCCGCACGCAGGGGGCACCTGCCTTGGTAGGTGCTTGGTGAGTGGCGCCACCGCGAACCCCGAGCCATGTGGGTTTACCCACCCACGCCTGGCTGTGCGTGGCTTAACCCGTGTCCGGGGAAAAGAGGACCCTGGTGGTTGAGCTGAGCCCGGGATATGTTTGGACCCTTCGGGGCCCCCCGGGCGAGGCAATACACCGCTTCGACCTCTGCTTCTCGTAGACGGGTGTCCTGGCTTGGCCCGACCAGGATGATTCAGTCAGTCGCCTCTTCTACCCTCTTCTTCTTTCTTTCACTTTTCCTCCTACCTCTTTCTCTTTTCTTCTACATTCTCTTCCTTCCTTTTTCACCTTTTTAGGCGGCAAGGGCCAACCTTGAGTGGAAACAGGTCCTGTCCCTGCAACCACACTAGGGTATAGTGCCCGGGCAGCACTGGTAGAGTAATTATGTCAGCCAAGCCCTTCTTGCTATGGCACATTACCTACCCCCTTGTTGGGCTCCGTGGTGGGCGGTGCACCTGGGCACTGAATTTTCCTCCCATCTCATATGGGTCTGCGCAACAAAAACTTTCTTGATCGGCCTCTGAAAAGAGGTCGCACCGAAGCTCAAGTCACTCTCGAAACATCCATTGTACCTGAAAAATTTCCAAAATTTCTTGTCTTACATTGTGAAGAGGAAAAACCACTTTCTAAACTGTCCCCTTTCCTGGTCGCCAAGGTACTGGAAGGAATCGTTGGAAAGGATTACTCTGCAAAAAAGATGGCGTCCGGTGACCTTCTAGTTGAGATCAACACCAAAAAGCAAAGTGAGGCCCTTCTTTCTCTCAATGCTGTGTCTGACTATAAAGTAAATGTTACTCCACACCGTAAACTTAATACAGTGCAAGGAGTTATTTCAGAGGACGACCTAATGGACTCATCTGACGAGGAACTTGTCGAAGGCCTGTCAGACCAAGGAGTAGTAGCTGCTCGACGTATCACCCTTCGTCATGAGGGCGTGGAGCGAAAAACAAGACATGTTATACTGACTTTTGACGCCACTACACTTCCAGAGACCATAAAGGCAGGCTACATCCAGTGCCGTGTTCGCCCCTATGTGCCGAACCCTCAGCGGTGCTTTAAGTGCCAAAGGTTCGGCCATGGGTCACGGAGCTGCCGAAGAAGTGATACTTGCGCGAAGTGCTCCAGTAAAGAGCATGTCGCTGACTGTTGCGAGAACGATCCAAGATGTGTCAAGTGTGAAGGTCGTCATCCAGCTTACTCACGCTCTTGTCCGAAATGGAAAGAAGAAAAAGAAATATTGACTCTGAAGACCAGAGAAAACATCTCCTACCATGAGGCAAAAAAACGTTTTTCCTTCTTATCAAAAGGAGGATATGCCGAGGTCGTGCGCAGGGGACCCGCACGGCCTATGATGGCGTCGGCGGGAACACAGACTCCTCCAGAAGGAGTGTGTCTCCCGTCAGTGTCCCATCTAAAACCCACGGGAGCGGTGCCAGCTGCACTGCGCCCCAACCACACGGTGGACGCTGTTCCTTCAACGTCCACCCTGAAGCGGGGGACGGCACCCCCCGCCGCCCCTACCTCCCTGCCTCCGAAAGGCCGGGGGCAACCCCGTGTCTTGAGCCAGCAGAGAGCTAGTGAGCCGTTAAGGCTGCCGACCCCAGCGGGTTTCCCCCCGGCTCCCCCTGAGGAGCCTATGGACGAGGGTGGACCCAAGCCCGGCGAGGAAAGTCTCCTCGCGGGATCTGACTCCTCCCTTTCTGCCACCAGCTACTCCACTGGCCAGCAGAAAGAGGCTGTAAAGAAGAAAAATGCACCGCGCAAAAAGATAGATTTTATCCCATAGTCATCTCATTTAACTTTTTACCGGTTTTTATATTCACTTCGCACTGGCTAAGCATATAGGTATTATGCAGTGGAACTGTCGCGGCCTTCTACGTAACATAGATGACATCAATCCATTTTTTGATGAGCTCCGCCCTGTTGTTATTTGCCTACAGGAGACTTACCTAACTGACTCGCACACGCAGGTTTTGCGTCATCATCAAGTTTTTAGAAAGGACCGCCATTCCTCAAGCCCTTCGGGTGGTGTAGCAGTGGTGGTTCAGAGTGGTGTGGCATGTGCCAAAGTTCCATTACAAACTTCACTTGAGGCAGTTGCAGTTCGCATCCTTCTTGACCGCCTCATCACTCTAGTGTCACTCTACTTGCCACCTAATGTTCCACTTCATCTTCATGAACTCCAAGCATTCATCAACCAACTCCCCAAACCTTTTTTAATCCTTGGTGATTTTAACGCCCACCATCCTTTGTGGGGAAGCTCTCGTCAGGACTCCCGAGGTGGAGTTGTTGAACGACTTTTATTATCAATTGGAATCTGCTTACTGAACAAGAAAAAAACCTACATTTTTTAGTGCTGCCCACAACACTTTTACATCAATCGACCTATCACTATCATCATCATCTCTGCTTCCATGCTTTTCGTGGAACGTTTTAGACAACCCTTTTGGCAGCGACCATCTACCCATAATTTTAGAGAGCGTTTTACCAGTTTCATCGATACCAACTCGACTCCCGCGATGGAAGTTGGAAAAGGCCGACTGGTCTATTTTTGGTTTAGACGCAGCACTTGATCCCTCCTTGTTTCTTCATATGACTCCCGAGGATGCGACGCTTTACGTTACAGAATGCATTATAAATGCTGCTTCCACTTCAATTCCACAGACTTCAGGAAATCTTCCCCGGAGGTGCAAGTCCTGGTGGAATGAGGAATGTACTTCCACTCGGAAAAGCCAGAACAAGGCGTGGGGAACTTTTCGGCGGTATCCAATTTTCCGTAACTTGATCGAGTTTAGAAAAAAAAGAGCACAAGCTCGGTGGACGCGAAAACGGGCAAAGTGGGCTTCTTGGACAAAGTATGTTTCATCCTTAAATAGTTTTGTCACGGCTAAAGAAGTATGGGATCGTCTCAAAAAAGTTCGCGGGCAGTACCATGCTTTCAGGATTCCACTTTTTTCTTCGATCTCGGCATCTCTAACGGGGCAAGCAGACTTCCTCGCAGAACATTTTCAGCGTGTTTGTAGCTCTTCCAATTACAGTACGGAGTTTGTAAAGTTCCGGTCTACCGCTGAAAAACAGAAATTCACTATGTCAGGCTTTAACTCTGTTGCATACAACAAACCATTCACAATGTGTGAACTCGAAGTTGCTCTCAGCTTAAAAAAGCAGTCTGCACCTGGGCCA